CTTTTGAAACTATTGAAACCCTGCCCCCCGTTTCCCGGACCTGTTGAAACTTTCAAAACTTTTAAAACTTTAAAAACTAGAGAAAGTATTGGAACCCTGCCCACCCTCTTCCCGGACCTTTCATTAAAGAAAGAGAGGCGTCACATAATACATAAAGGTTTCTCTTACATATATATATATACACATACATACATATATATATATATAGAGTGTATATTATAAATATATAGTCTTACATATATATATATAGAATATTAAATCTAGGCTACCATAGGCTACGTAGGCTACCAAAATCTAACAAGAAAAACAAATTCGTTGAGGCCTCCAAGCTGGCAAAGCAGGGCGACGTGGAGGGATTGAAGAAGTACCTGAAGCAGGCGATTGTCGGAAGGTTTCATAGGCTTCCACCTTAGAGCCCTCTTAGTTTTTAAAGCTTCCTGAGCCTCAGTCCGCCTGCGGCTCGATCCCGGTACTGTTGGTGTGGCAGATTGTGGGAGGCTTGTCTTGCTGAACCCTCAATCCTGGGCACCAAGATGCACCAACTCTCAACTCCAATCTCGCTTGTATCCGTGAGGCAGAGGCCATGAGCCACGGTGACTTGGAAGTTAATGTCATGCAGTCCTGAACCTTTCATTACATGCCAGCACTGAACAACGTGAATGTCGGAAGAAGTTTTGATCGTAGTACTGTCGTTGTAGACTCAGAATGCTTTGCGCACACATAATGTCGCCTGTTTTGATCGTGGAAAACTACGCATGAAACTGCCCGAAGAAGTATAATGAGCATTCTGCAGCTACTAATCACTACTACTCGTTGCATAAGAAGTGCGCTCTTGAAGCATCCACCGTCTTAGTCTTCAATCGTCAATGCCTAGGATTTCCAGTGACAGTTGTCCTCCAAAGGATGCTTGTAGTGCTGATCATACCAAACACACTACAGGCATCCACCAAGGATGCGTCATATTCGCAAGTCATTCTCAGTGAGCACAGTAGCCGTAGTTGTCATGGTTGACATAAAGTTCATGCCTTTCTGAATAGTCTTATAGGATCTACCATGACCAATGTAGTGGTTGATAAATGATAGTGTTGGAAACATCGATCGTATAACGCATTAAATCCGCTGTTATCATGGGCAATAAAGGTTGATCACGTTCCGAGTCACAGCGATGCAGGGGCATTTGCAGTATTAGCCACGTTTCCGTCTGAGTTATTTCACGGATTTTCGCAAGTGAATCGGGTCAGTCGTATGCACCCGCAACGTTGGGAACAACTGCTGGTAGCCACAGTAAGATGGATGCTGCTCATAGACCATCAGTGACTGGCGGTAGTTTATGCATAGCAAGACGGCGGCTGTGCATTGGTTCGGGACGGTGAGTCCTAACAGGCTTTCATTCGACTGATCGTGTTGGCAACATGCACAAGTTTCTGATCAGCATCATGCATGTTGTGAAAGATCACCTCAGGAAGCCAGAATCGTTCAGTGAAACCTTGCGAGTCTTGATCAAGTTGTCATGGTCCCACCATTCAACAGCTCCAGAATATTGCAAAAAAGACTAAATCAGCCACGAAAGCTGAACAAAATACACATCGCCTCCCCCAGTCGGAGCTGCTCAGGTGCCCAAGATGCCCTCGAGGGCTCAGAGTTGAACCAAACCTCCGAGGCTGCCGAGTCTTGGGGCCGAGTGGGCAGAGACTACGTGTTGCGGGATACGATGGAATCAGGCGCAGGTTACACATTTGTACTGAAGAGGCGGTCCCAATAGAGCCTAGAAATCGGTGGATGCGCCCATCTGTCGGATATGTGGCTTGATTCGATATTTTTGCCCTGATGTATTGGCTCATTGGCCAGGGCGCCCCAAAGGATTCACCACGAAGCGGGCCAGCTGCACCAAACAATCAGGCCTGACCTGGATGATGTTGTGTCGTTTCTTGCGTGTAAGCTGCTGGAAAACAGCAGCAGCTTGTTGAGGAAGCGTCGGACAAGAAGCCGGAGCCTTGCACGAAGGAGGAGCTGCAAGCGACGGTGAATCAGTACGGACGCTGGCCTTGCACCGCCAGAAATCTGACCCCGAGAGAAGAGAAAGAGAGAAGTCGAGACACACCAAGCCTGAAGTTTGTAGGAGAGGCCCCTGATGATGTCTTCCTGGCACTATGCTGCAGTTTGCACCTGGCCGAGAGGTCGGACTTGATCCCAATACTTACATCTAACCCCTCTGGGGCCTCTCATACGGCCGCATTTGACTACGAAGCGGCACGGATTACAGTCGGATGTCATCTGGAACCCTAAGGACAGACCGGTGGTCTTCAGCTCAGACACGTTCGAGGTCGAGGTCGTGCATTGTACCAGAGCACGCACAGACAAAAAAAAAGAAAAAAGATGCAATTTCCAAGGCGACCGGCAGATGGATGAGATCATTGCAAAGTTGAAGGAAGCAGCTTTTTTTGAACAGCGACAGTGGGAGCTGGTTGAAGAGGGGAAGCTTAAGAACAGAGGTGAGACGGCTCATGACGGCTCTGCTACTTGTTGTACTGTTTCTTGAGTGGAGTGGTCGATGCACCTGTTCGACAGTTGTGGTCCTTGGTGGATTTGGTGCCTAGGTCGAGAAGCAGTCGCCTGGAGGCCCGGGGGATGGCCGGGGCTGCGCCGGCTGCCGAAGCCTTCGTGGATTCCTGCTTTGGCCCTGCCTCTTCCCTTCTTGGGGCTAGGCAGCCTTCCGGATGCCGTGAAGTTGGATCACGACCTACAAGGGAAGGAGGCTCCAAAGCAGCATTATCTCGGAACTGCGTTCCCAGCGATCCATCGTTTCCCATTCGGGCATGAGTCGTCCTGGGCTCAACACCATCAGGTCCTGAGGATCGAAGGCCTGGCAGCTGTCACTTTGGCATAGGGCTCTGCTGAATGGCTTTGTGCATCTCTGTGCGGGCGAGGCGAGCTCTACGTCTTTACTGCCCATGCGGACGACTTCCTGTCCCACCCAGGAGTTCAGGAAGCCTTCGAGCTCTTGATCGACGCTTGACTGACTTGGTCAGAGCTCCTTGTGCCTGTGCCTCCCTGTGCATGAGACAGCCACTGATACCGCACGAGGCAGGAGGGGCGAACATCGACACGAGGAACGTGGAGGCCAAATCACACGAGACAAGATCGCAGTCCAACACACGTTGCTATCGCCTGCCTGCCATTGCTGCCTGCCTCGGAGCATCTTCGTGCTTGCTCGTTTCGCTTGCATGATTGTTCGTTGTTTCTAGTACTTGGGTTATCTCGCGAATTCTCGTGTCTCGTGTGTGGCAGCGCATCATGGCTTGACCATGGTCTGGGCATCCTGCCGCGCAGGTGTCACTCTCCATTCCCCAACGGATCGTTGAAGCTGAGTGGCAGAAGAAAGCCAAAGGCCAGTCCTAGAGCTACCTTCCCCTGCAATCATGTGCACAACACCGCGGATGCGCCCCTAAATGCCAGAAAATCACTGACGTGGCAGCGGGAGGTAACATCTTGTGCAAGTACACTATTCACGTGATGTCCAAGACAGCTTCCGCTGCCGATGGAGATGCAGTGGCGCGGGTTGCAAGCAGCGGGCTTTCTCAGGATAAGGGTCCTCATGTTTGCACTTGCGTGCACTTAGCTCTATCTGCTGCAATTATCGTCCGCACATGTGCCGGTCAAGAGTCGTGTCGTTCGTTTCGGTGTTGCCCAGCTGTGTCTTCTCACTAGCTCGCACCTGTACCGTTAAAACCTGCAGGTCATCGCCAAGCTGTCCGAAGTGGAGATTGGGCTTGCAAATTTTTGTCGAACAGTTGCGTGCAGTTTAGCCGACATGACGTTTGAACATCCAGCCACGCTGCGCTGCCTGACATGTGACACGCTGAACAGATCACCGGTCCTTCTCGTGGAGTGTCTGGTCTTTTGGAGGACGAGGTTCAAGCGAAGAAGAAGCTGCAGCAGATCTTCAAGGACGGCGTAGGTTGTCAGGTGTTTCAGATCCGTAGCCACGGTGGCCTTTTATGAGGAGCATGGTATCGAGCAGGAGGTGACTCCGGTGAGCAGCCCGACTGCAAGAGGATGCAAGACCTTCCAGAGCTCCAACTGGCTCTTATGCTCCCACAGGCTCTGAGAGAAGCTGGCGGCGACACTGGAAGCCGCTCTTCCACTGTGCTCCTCGGCTCGTCGTTTCTGCGACTGAAGAGGCCATGCTACCGCTTCTGATGTTGTTAGGATCGCTCGCATGAGCATTGTGCCTCATTCCTTGTTCTGCGCAATCTGCAAAGGCAGAGGCTTGCCACTCCCCCGAGAGCATGAGAAGAAGCTTCGCAGTCCGCCACCGCGCCCAGATGCCACTTCTCGAGACGCCTTCGAAACCGAGTAAGCAGCAGCACAATAGTAAGAAGTAGGTTAGTAGGGGCTAGCAGCACTACCATGCGAATGGTCAGGATCATGAATCTGAATGTTGTTATCTTCTCATTGCGTACAACATAACGCAAGGTCTCGATAGGTCGGCTGACGGAGAGCGCCTCGAAAAAGCCAAGAGCTGGCCAGGCTCAATCAGAGATGCACACAGAATACTCACATCATCTACGCTACACATGCATACTCATGCAGATGCATGTGTACATCGATCGAGAAAGGGCGAGGGAGAGAGACAGAGCCATTTTGCCTCAAGACCACGAGTGGTTCAAGATCCCAGCCAACCCGGCGCGTGAGATAGTGAGAGCTAGAAAGGGTCTGTGGGGGAGCGTGCCTTGCCTTGCTTCCTTGGAGAGCCATCGTCCTCGAGGGCAACTTCACTGTTCTACACGACACCGAGCCAGGGGTGCGGCCGGGCGAGTACGTCGAGAACGGACCCAACCTGCTACCGGTACGGCTAAGCGAGCCTACTCAGCTCTTTTGACGAAGGTTCGATCAGCCGGGAGCTGAACGGGAGATAAAGAACACCTTCGGAGGGACCGTGACACTTCCTCGACGGCATCAAGAATGCAACCTACGCCTACGACATCCTACGACTGGAGGGCAAGACGCCCAAGCAAAGGGGGACATGCTTGTCGACCACCAAGGACCAAGGCAATGCGCCTCAAAAGCGCAGAGCACCGGCGGCGGGGGAAGCCACGCAGGCTCTCTCCATCGAGATCACTCGTGAAGCCATCCGCGGAGAACTACAAGAAGTGCGTCAGGACATCCGAACATTCGGCACGCGAGTGGATCATGTAGGAGCCCAGGTGACACGCCAGATGCAGCAGACCATTAACCTCCTGGACGAGATGACGAACAAGTACACAGAGCATGCGGGTATACTGCAGCAGCTCCAGAAAGCTAACCATGAAGTGCGCATCCGCCTGGAACGGCTTGAGAAAGGGGGAGGCCCGGCTTCCACGGCGGGGGGCACGACAGCGCCTTCCTCCGAAGGGGGGAGGAAACCTTCTCTGGGAATCGGCGGCTGGGACCGTGACCAGGCCGCCAAGATCACAAATCGGGAAGTCGAAGACATACTGAAGTCGGTCGAGGCCCTATCCAACTTGATGGGCTTTTTGTGCCAGGCATCCGCAGAGGTTATGCCATCCTGCCTATAAATGACAAGCCGGGGGAAAGGGGGCTATAATGTCCACCTCGGGGCCCGTCCAGACGGGGGGACCTCGTCGCCGCAAAAGCTCGCCTTGCAGCAAAGCTTTGGCTTGGGCGTCGACTCTTGAGCTTGGGGATGAGCCAGGCAGTGAGCGGGACAGTGACGAGGGACCACACACCGTAGACGGCGGATGCATGCTGCCTTCTGTGACTGACCGTAACTACAAGGCTCTGTAGCTGTTGCTGTTGGCTTGGGTTCGGCACGGGCAGCACTTTCTTCGCCGCAGTAGCGGCATGTCGAGGCAGGCGGACCGACACCCACCAAGCTAGGACAACATCTAGGCCAGGACACCTAGTGCTGTGATCCCGCGTGCTTTACGAGGATCGAGCCCGTAGCCACGGCAGCGACCTCAGTTACGACCGAGCAAACCTTGTTTCGAACGTTAGATCACTGGTTGTGTGTTGGTGTTTGCCTGTGTAGTGCTGCTGTTTGCTGGGGAAGACCAGACTTCGGGGATGGAGGTGTTGCAGGCAGGCACATAGGCCGAGGCAGTGTCGTGCGGGGTTCGGTTTGGTTCGGGATGCTGGCGGGGGATGCTTTGAGGTAGGGTTAAAGGTGTAACGGGGGACAACCTGCTGTGGTTTCACGACGACCTGGGCACTGGACACCGGACGACCTCAGCCCCTTCGGGGGAGGGTGCTTCGGCACCTTAGCTCGGCAGCAAGCAAGCAAGAGAGGGAAATGTGTGTGTAGGTGCGTGTGCGCGTGCAAGTACATGTGTGCGTATGCGCGTATTCAGGCATGAAGCCAGACAGACACAGACCTACAGAGAAAGAGACAGACAGACGACAGACAAGCCGACAGATGGAAATGCAGCTGGATACGGATAGGGGTGGGATATGGTTATGGATAGCGAGACATAGATAGAGAAATAGACAGGTAGATATATAGATGAATAGACCGAGAGATAGAGATAGAGATAGATCGATAATTCGATAGATGCGTTTATCGATAGATCGATAGGTAAACTGACAAAAGGAAGGAAAGATGTTGCGTAGATCGAATGTGGATGGGATGAGAGATACATAACTACATAGGTAGATGGATAGATAGATACTTAGATGTTTCGATCGATAAATGAAGAGGTAGAGAAACACACGGACAATAAATAGGTAGGTGAGTAGGCGGGTAGATTGACCGTTCGATAAAAACATCGAACGATGGAGAGACGGGTAGATCGGTAGACACGGAGACAGATCGAAAGGTCGATAAATCGATAGATCGCTCGATCGATCAGTCACAGACAAACGCGGGCAGTCCGATAGGCAGCGGGGTATGTAGGTAGGTAGGTATGTAGGTAGGTAGGGAGGTGGGGAGGTAGGGAGGCAGATAGTTACGTAGGGGGGTATGTTTGTAACTTTGTAGGTCTTAGGCAGGTACATAGGTAGGTAGGTAATTAGGTAGGCAGGTAAACAGATACGTGCATACATACAGATTCATGACCATAAATGCATACAGATATGTTTTCTCTCCACACCGTCACACACACACACACACCTACATCTACCGGCAGAGTGCATCGGCGATCATGACGCCGGCCAAGGCTCAGGTGCATTGTCCGTCTCACATTGAGCCGTTCAGCGATCCCGATGTCGCGAGAGTGTGTGGATGGATCAAGCAGTTCCTGCTGCTGCAGTCCAAAATTATCTGCCTGCCTTGTCCGGTTCAACTTTCGTGACTTGTTACTTGCAAAAGCAATTGATTTCGCCAGGGCAAGTCATTCTTGTATTTGGCGATAGACTTTGTTGCTTGAGCTCAGATGGTGCTGAGCCATGCCCGAGCGTCGGCCTCTCAGTGTCTCTGACGTGTCTCGGAGGTCTTTCAAACCCCAGAGACCCCCCAGAGCTTCCTGGGCCTCACTACGGGGGGCCGAACGGCTATCCAACATAAGAAGATAACCTGAATTGGAAGTTGGTCTCCATGCGCATGTTCCCTAGTGCGAGTTGCATGCAAGGTCGGCCCACCTTGTTCCACAGCTCACAATCACTTCGGTTGGGTGCCCCAGCAGATCGTCTCTTTCCGAGATTTTACGAACTTGCTGCCATGAGGCCAGCAGCTATGGCTCCTGGGTCTGGGAGCACAAGATCTGTTCGTACGCTGGGGGCCCTGGAAGGGAAGAGTGACTCTTCGGCATCCGATGCCACGGCCACAGCTTGAAGCGTTGCTCCGAGGTGATGCACAGCGAGCCCTCGATGTTCTGACGGAGCGGATGCGATGGTAAGAAGCCGACTCCTCTGGTGCACTCACTCAACGTTGCTGCAGCACCTTCGGACAATTGCCGGTCGAGAACCGTCTCCCCATCCGGCAGTCGCCCGGATCCGTTTCAGGAGCTTCCCTTCGTCGACGCCTCGAGGATTGGTGTCGTTGGGTGCAGCGGCCCATCTCCAAGTACCATGTGTCGCTTGTCGCTGTGACGTTTCACTCGCCTGACTTTGTTCCGTGTTTCGACAGAGGTGGCGGTGCTCTAAGTGCTTATCTTGGTGCGATCGACCCAAGAGTGACTGCAGTAGCCGGCGCCTTGGCACTGATTCCTGATCCCGGCTAGCAAGAGCCACTCCCGCTATATCAAGTGAGAATGCCCTGAAAGTGTGGCACGGCTCTGGGCAAAGGCTGTGGCGTGCTACTTCTCCACTCTAGGCCTGGCCTGTGCAAGAAGCATGTACTTGCCGAGAGCACCTCAGAAAGATGGGTGCTTTGGAACCGCCCATCCTTGCCTTCAGGTCAAATCACACAGCGGTTCTATAGCTATCTAGATATCCAGATTGAAAACGAACATTGAAGGAGGGCTCTTGCAATCGAACCGCCCCTCCGTTTGCGGTCATACTTTCAATGATAGCACAACGGCTCGATAGCACTAAATTCTATAAACCCAGGGCAAATCCTGAAGGTTTCAAGGGGAAGTGGGGGAAATAGGAGAAAGCCAAACTCGAAAAGGACATCTGAGACAACAGGGGCAAAACGATGCTTTCCGAAAGTGGAAGACAGCAAAAGGGAATTCTGCAAAAGAGATGATTGCTTGGTGCGAAGCCTGCCGGCTTGGCAGCGGCTTCCTGCTCGTGGGCTGGAGCTCTGAGACTTCTACACCCCCGCAACAAAAAGAAAAAAAAGAAAAACAAGAAAAAAACAAAAAAAAATAAATAAATGTATATGTATATATATATATGTATATATGTATTTCTCAAGCCTTTAAAAGCTATTGCAGCTTTAGAGATAATGTGACTCTCGAAGCTCTGCCCAACCTCACCCCCGAACCTCTTACAACTTTTGAAGTTTGTGTTGAAGCTTTCCTAGCAGTTGCAATTGTTTTAAACGTTGATAGTGTCCCTGCCCACCCTCATCACCGAAACTTTCGTCTGTTGGAACGATGGGGCCTTTTTTACACTTCTGAAAACCTGCCAACACCCCCGAACCGTTCAAGCTGGTCAGCCATAAACACATGGGTTCGAAGCTTTCGAAACCGTTGAAACTATCAACACGCGGAACAGTTTCCGTGGATTCCAACGCTTCAACGGGTGTTTATTGATTTAAAACCCTCGGAGGTGAGGGCGGGCAGGGTCAGAAATGTCTTAGCAGGTTCAAGGGCTTTGAGCAACTGGAAAGTTTCGGGGGTGATGGTGGGTAGGGAGCTTGTAACACTTGCAAAGCTGTTGATGCTATTAAAGTGTTGGCGACTGTCGAAGCCTTTGAACCTATCAGAAGCATTGACGCCTTTTCAAAATGTTAAAATGCACCTGAAGCCCTGCTCAATGAACCCTGCCCATTGATCGTTCCTTGACGGGCCACATCTTGAGCTTAGAGACTTCGGGGAGATTGACAAGCGTTCAACAAAAAGAACCCCCCCCCCAGTTGAAACTACTGAGACGTTTCATAGTTTCAATATCCTCAAGCGTTTTAAATGGTTCGGGGTTGGGGGTTGAGGGTCGGTAAGGCTTTTGCAAATTTCGGCTTGCAAACTTTTGAAGCGACTAGACTAGACCTATCGAAACGTTTAGGGCTATGGGCTACTGAACGTATGGACGCTTTACTTTTGGTTGAGCGATCTAAAGCTTTCATCAAGTCCAGGATGAGGGTGGGCCGGAAACTATTGAACATCTAGTGAATATTTTACGAAATTATCGAAACTATGAAGGTAGTCCTAGCGTTTTGGGGGTGAGGGGTTGGCAAGGAAGCTTTTAAACTTCTTGGAGTGTGTGAAACTTTTTGTTTTATACACTTATATAGCCGCCGGAAACCTGTGCAGCTACTGAAACCCTCATGTAGAACACCAGCTGAAGTGGGGGACTTCAGAGAAGCGTCACATAGACGTATGCCTGCCTGCCTGCCTGCCTTCCTGCATGCATGCATGCATGCATGCATGCATGTGACGCATGTGTATGTATTATTATCTAGGTGTATGTTTGTTTGTTTGTGTGTGTGTGTGTACGTGCGCATGCGTGTCTGTGTGTGGGTGTGTATGCATGTATGTATGTATGTATGTATGTATGTACGTGCGCATGTATGTGTATGTGTGTGTAGGTCTGTCTATGTATGTGTATGTGTACATGTATGTGTACATGTCTGGGTATATGTATGTGTGTATGTATTTGTATACGTATATGTACATGTATGTGTCTACGTATATGCAAAGGTCTACGTGTATAAACATGATGTGCGCATGTATATGAATACCTGGATGCCTACATTGATTTGTAGCTTTGCCATCGGATCGCGGACAGGACGCGAGCTGGAGATAGGCACTTGCAGCAGCCTTGGGCACAAGGTAAGGTAGGGAGACTGCCGGACTCTGGAGGCACCCAAGGCCTTGGGCGCAAGAGGCTGTATCTGGGGCGGTCTCTCAGGTAACTATGATGCCGAACAAATATTGTGGAAGATGGCGTTGCCTGAGCCCTACCGTTGAAGACCCGAAAACGAGCTTTCCAGCCAAGCGCCACTGGAGCTGAGGTATGGTATCGACAAGCCAGATCTACTCCGCGCTCGTGCACCGAAGCCGACAGCCAGCCACCAAGACAGGCTCACTGCGCCTGGTTAGCCTCACAGGGCCTGCTCTTACTGCCTTGTCCTCCCAATCCGTCGTTGACAACCGTGCACGCCTGCAAGCATGCTGCGCGCGTTCACATGAGGCCTCTAGCATCGCGAGATTGAGGGCGAAGCGCGTCGTTGCACTTCCGAGGCTGTGATTCTCACCTCTCACGACTGCTTCCCGATCCTGGGCGGACGGGAAGGCTTCGAGGAGGCGACCTGCAAGTTGGGTTTCCCGTTTGCGGGTTCGGAATTACAGGGCACCTGCTTCCATGCCCAGATCGGCTGCAGAGTTTTTTTCCGTGTGCAAGCCGTTGGGAACCGCTGACGCGCTTGACCTCACGAGAGAGCGGGAAATATAATCACGACTATCATCGTCTTGGTGGTCAAACTCCACGCCCAGTTCCAAGCGCCCCACCACATTACCACAACAGCTGGGGAGAGTGGGCCCGTCACTGTGAAGCTGGCAGCACAGGCAGGTATGTATACATTATATCATATCGAGCTGGCAGCGCAATGCCAGCAGTGTGTAGATTCGTGGTAGCAGAGCCCAGCCTTACCGCCTATTCAGGGCAGAAGAAGTCGGGCCCAGCTTCTTGTGGGTGAGGATTACGTGGACAACCGCGCAGGTGGAAAAGGCCTTCCGTGCGCAGGGCGACCCCTCGGGGCTCTGCGCCAGCGAAGCGCCTGGCTACCATCAGGCCCTCAGTGTGATGTTAACCTGAATAATTATGCCAGGGTTTCTTTCATGTCTGCTACAGTATCAGCTGGCTCATGCTCCTATGGTCTTAGAAGTGGGTCGCCTCACGAGTCATGCGAGTCATACATGTGTCTTCCGTACCACGTCGCATGTGCTGCAGTGCGCCTTGAACGCTGCCGGCGCAGCTGATTCGGCCCAAACAGCTGGGCAGCATTCGGCCTGAGTTGGCCATTGAGTGCAGTGCTGAGTGCAAGTAAAGCCAACCCCTGCAAATTTGAAGAAGCAGCTTTTCGAGGATTCCGAGGGATCCAGTATCTGCACCTGGAAAGCAGATGCAAAGTAGGAGAAATTAGTTGGTTTGCATCCGATTTCGTCAGTTGTCACAGTCGCCGAGATGTGTGGGCTCGAAGTTCGAAGGTACAAAATTCTGAACCCCACCTAGTGATTGCGTGTGCTATCTGCTACACCAGCGCAGTGCTTGCTTCCACTGCTGTCCTGATCCTGATGCTGCTGCTGCTGCTGCTGCTGCTGCTGCTGCCGCTGCCGCCGCTGCCGCCGCTACCGCTGCTGCTGCTCCTACCACTACAACTACCGCTACCGCTACCTAC